TATAGCCGCACGAAGTAATCTTTAGGCACTACTCTAAGTTGACAGGTGACCTTCATTGACGCCCGAGTATTTCAGCCGGTCCTGCAGCCTTGTAAACAGAGCCCAGATTGTGCGGTGTTGTATAACTGTCTTTTGTTCACTAACCTTGCTCAGTGCACTGCTGACCTCTTTTCAATAGGGGCCAGATTAGCGAGCAGCGGTGCTGTGTGGCTCATCGCTGCAGTGGTGTAGCGCTTTTGTCCCCGGTGGTAATCCGCTCGCTCTCAATGCCCCAAACCCTGGTATAAGGTTTCAGAACAAGGCTGGATTATCACCACTTTTGAGAATGAAAAATGTCGGTAATGCCCAGCAGCCTGGTCTTTTGTTCGGAGTACGGTCTTTTGTTACAGGGCCCTGTTTCCTTTGTCCGAGTTCAGAGACCCTGGCCACGCATATAAACCATACATCTCTGATTCCGGAGTCCCCAGCAGGAAGTGGTTAATGAGGTTCAACTGAGTGCAAAGCATACAGATCACTAAATGCCTGATCGGCACATACTTGTCAAGTACTTTTTTGTAATAAAAGTTGGGGTGCGGAACAACTGTTTTGAGGAACTGGGAGGTATCTGATAAATCTAAGATCAATCTGATGCAAATAAAATTACATACAATCTTGCTGCATTGAACATGATTAAGATTATAGCTTTGTACGGTTTGACCAAAATGGCTGGGGTTTGAGCCAGCCATTACCGGCCAGAAAGGGGAATATTGCTAATAATGGAAACCAGCTTCCACTCGATCATAGTACCCATATCGGATGGAATCCTACAACTGTCTTGTCCGTCTTCACAAGATACCATGCTGCATGATTTGCAGTCAGTAAAGAATTTGATACCACGAGTGCACTGCATCTCACCAAGATCAGCTTCGGCACGCTGCATGTGCTGATCTTGTCTTATGCACTAACATGCCTTCCCAGCCTGAGCGTTGCACAGTGTGTGGAAGTCCATCTTGCAGAATCTTTGACCAAGGGGCAAGTTGCTCACATGTAGCTTGCAGCTGGGTCTAGTGCACACACTGTGGTTGGCGTTCTACTGCTTGCTGGCAACTGGAGGATGTCCAAATAGTGGAGCTTTTCTGGTTTTACTTGTTCTGCCATCTCACGTCTTCCAGCTCGCTACATTCGGATTCCCTTTTAACATGTTGCCTGGCATCTGATTTCAAAGCAGGAGACATTTTACCGAGAGAAGGGGGTCCTGTCTGACAGGTGGGTCGACAGCTGCTTTTATCTAGAAAGAGAACTGCATCCGTGATCTTGCCGCTCATGACCAGAGGGGATGGCCATTTTAAATAGATTTCGGTTACTACGGATGTGTCCTACTGTAGAAAGTCTGTCACTTCCTCCAGCTCTCGTTGTCGGGCTTGGTGGTGAGCCCACCTCTCCTCGGCAAGCTTAGGGGTCACGTTCCATTTGTTGTGGTACAGTCTCTTGGCGCACTTGGGACATTTCTTGCCCCCTGAGAATCAGAGATGAGAAAAACAAAGATATAAGCACACCGCTGACTAGGTCTTACCCTCAGTGTGTACCAAAGGTAAGTAAATCTCGTGAAATTTGTTTTCAAGGCTCAAAGAGGGCTTGCATGGCTGCTATTTTGCAGGCTCATGCTTTTGTTTCCACAAAGCTCCTACCAAACTACCTGTTTTTAAACGATTATTTAAATTTACCACAACTCAAACATACCATTTATCATGCCTGTGTTTAAGTTACTTTATTCCTTGTGGTTTTGATATACCTGCTGAACTGTAGTACTTTTGTTGATGTTTGTATTTATATGTAATGTGTATGTATTGGATGCTTTACGTGTATTCGCATTTCCCATTTATGGTAATGTTTAACGTAACGGGCTCATGCTAAAAAGCTTTGCTTCCTAATGAGTTCCCCTGCAGTATCTTCAAATGACATTGCTAACTATTTCCATGTAATCTGAATACGAATACTGGAGAAATACACTTGTAACAACTTGTAAGGTATGCACAAAGGAAGTTTCCCTGTAGAACTAAGGGAATGCCCTGCAAGATGGCTACCATGCAAAGCCACTATTAGGGGCCGTTTATATATAAAAACAACTGTTCTCGGAGCTCTATGTGATGAAAACTATTGACACAAATCCATCCAACCTCATACTCTCAGTATCTTTCACAGTGGCACTCAACCATCACTTCTGCATTTAAAGGAATGGTTGACCTTCCAAAATGTATCTGCATCGGAAGCCTCTCAAACTTCTTTTACTGATTTGATTTGAATACTGCTCATGCTGTAATGGGCATACAATCAATTCCAAGATACTTCTTGCAATAAATTGAAACAATAATTCCCAAACTAGTTTTACGCTGTAAACAGTTGTATTTAGGGGAGAAAAGGATATTACCTGTGAAAGGTGGTGTCTTCATGTACTCATCTACACAACCATGGTGGAATATGTGACCACAGTACATCCATTCTACATGTCTGCCGTGTGTCGGATCGTTAACTACATGCTAGAAAAGAGAAGAATATGGCACATCTTGCAGAATACTGTATTTGTAAACAAACTGTGCCTAGAGAAACTGTGTATGAATTTTTGACACATTATCTGCAACTGAGTTGCTGTGAGTAATGCATGACTCAGATGTTCCCTTCCAAAAGGTGGCAAAAGATTCTACAGTCTGGCTCCATTCAAGTAAGTACAACACTCCCTCCTTAAGTTCTGATACATGAAATCTTGAACTATGTACTATGACCCAATCACTGTTTACTGAAGCTTTCCAATAATTTTTATGTTTAATACACAGCAACACAATTTCAAATTCTTTAAAAATGATTTTCCTACCCCCCCCAACCAAATAATCACCTCTGGTCTCTTTGGGAAGGCTGTGTCCTGGCATAAGTGACAGAGCTCTGCTGGATATTTGCGTACACACTCTCGGACAAGAAACTCACAAACAGGTCGAAGGGATGGCTTAACCTCAAAGGGCGGGTCTCTGTCATCAAGAATGAATATGCATGGTGAATTTGCAAAACAGAGCTCAGTACCAGTTTTGTCTTTGGTATGAATGGATAGCTTGACCTTGAAGGGTGAGGCTCTTCTCATCAAGAATGAATATGCATGATGTATTTGTATAACATGCAGCTGAACAACTGGGTCTCTTGTAGGAAATTAAAGACAGACAGACAGCTTACTTAGGGTTCTTTTTGAGTGGTGGCGTCACACTCTGCCTGGCGATCTCCACAGCTTGTGAGGAGAACATCTTGGAGAACATCTCAGGGAAATTATGCTCGATGTCTCCAATTCTGCCAGAAAACCAAAAAGGGTGAACCTTAAGGCAACTATGAGCTGGCACCAATCTGGTTTCCCCATCACAGGCAAGCGGTCACAGGGCAATGAATCCCCAGAACCTTGCCGTGTGGATTACGAACTATAGCGTGTAGAATTAACAACAAGATCTTCATGGCCAAAAATCTGGAAAGCTGCAAATGACATTGGATCTTCATGTGTCCTCAGAAAAATCAAGCACCTTGCAGAATTCAGCCGAGTCTTTCTTGTGTCCCTTTGTGGTTAATGAGGTGCAAGTTGTTAGATGGATCAACTTGTTTACTGCAATGCATTGGAGGAACAGAACAGGAAGTCATCGGTGTACACACTGCTATCATAAGCACATGAATACGATTATCTCCATTTTAAAAAGGCAGTTGTTTTATGTAACCATTGTTTTGAATCTTCCTGGGAAATTATCCTTCACAATTGGAAATAGTACGACTGCACCTTTCACTTTCCTTTGATCAAATGTATCCACTACGTGCCTTATATCTCCTACATGTCCTTGTGCCTTAGGAAAAGTTAGGATGACCCCCCCGTGCATGGCAGTAAACACAGCGACACATCATCAGTAGATGATGGAGGGCTATTCAATGAACCAATGCTACATACAAACGTGGTGTTTGGACCCACAACTGACACAAGTGAGCCAGAAATGTACTGATATTTGGACAGGCAGTTAGGGCCAAACCTGAGTACAACAACTTGGATATTCTCAGGGTACTTCTTCGAGTTGATATGCTTGAATACCTCAACATAGTCAACAGCCAAGGTATTCATATAATACACTCTGTCTGTCTCTGGGATTTATTTCTTATACACCACCTTATGATTTTTATCTACTTATTGACATTGGAAAGTGCCTTGATGATGGCGACTGCTCTCGGGTGGCACACTTACTGGACTTGTTCTTCAGGATAATTGTCAGGCACAGTCAACTTGACCTTCAAGAAGTACTCTAATTTCCGTATCGTGTAGACGATGACTCCAGCTTTCTGTTTCGTTTTGAACGTGTCTTGTGCCTCCACCAGTTCCTTCTTGATGAACGCGAGCTCCTCGCTACAAGGTGTGAAGGGGTTATCATCGATGAACTGGCGAATGAATTTCAACATTGGCATCACCTAAGAAATAACACAAAGTGTTTGGATGAACCTCGAGAGTCCTCAACCTAAGAGTCCTGAATCTAACACGTCGGAGGACTGAGGACTGTAAAGGTCAATAAATGGCAAACATGAATCATCCATTTGTGCAACTTGGGTCAATGGTTTTCAGTGCCACTCCATCACTGAGAAATAAGCATTCCTGTATTCCTTTCCACTGTCATAAATTTATCATGAACTTGGCTGCACTACAGAAGGATCATCCTCATCAAAACCAGATCAGCCAAATCTAAAATTAAGTTTCCTTACAGTTACTGTGAAGTGGCTTCATTAAGGACATTTAGGAAACTCAGGTTTGGATGGAATTTATGTATAAAATTATAGCAAAGAAGCTTTGTAACCGAAGCATAACGTAATATTTCCCAAACCAGGCATGCAACTGTGAAATTAGGAAAACAAGGAGATTCCAAACCAAATGAGACCTTGTATATTCTTTCTTAGTTGGTAATGGTGCCCGTGAGAGATGCAAAAAAGTGGGGAAGAAAAGAAAAAAACAGCTGAACCAAGGAAGAGTCACTCGCATTAGAAACCTCGCCAAGGATTTTAAATCAGTGACTTCCTCACCATGCCTAATGCACCAACCTGTTGTTTGCCGAGTAGTTTCTTAGCTTCATTGTCGCATATCCTGACTAAACCCTCTCGAAGCTTCTCAGGAATCGTCTTGCTTTTGATCTCCACCACGATGGCAGTGTCTGGGTAGCCGTCGGAGAACTGCAGGCAGGCATCCAACTGTTTAAACTTAGTCCTCCTACAAGAAAAAAAAAGAGACTAAGTTGTCAGGTTAAGAATGTCTCAAGATCTTATCTGACACTATCTACCCCCCCAAAGGGAAATACTCAGAGAGAAAAAGTGAACCCTTCTACTGAACAGGCTCATATTTTGCCAATGAGAGATATTCAAGCAATCTGCTTCAGCATTTTAGACCATCTAACTAATGTCTTACGTCATCTTGACTCTGACAGACACTGCATGGCAGGCGATGAGTTCAGACCCTCTGATCTCTTCCAGACACCTCCTCTTTACCTCTGCAAGCTCTTCTTCAATGAATGATGATGCCATGATATCTCAATCTGTTCACAGGGAATACAAAAATCTGCAGTGAAGCAGGCACGATTAAGACACTAACATTCCTTGGGTGTCAATCATTCCATTCAGTGCATTTGCATGATCTGAGGATAATACAGTTTTGTGCATGGCCAACGGAAGTTGAGTGCCCCAACCATACATCATGATTCATTTACATGGTATAACATCATTCTGATCTATCATTTGTAGCATTGAGGTTTGGCCGGCTTACACTGTTGGCTCTAATACAGTAATTGTAAACATGGAAAAATTGTGGGACTGACTCAGTGCTAAATATTCATCTGTCACATCATCACGTCATCAGTGTTAAAACTTTATAAAAACAAGACGTCAACAGAAAAGATCTGCAGTGTAACTGATGTTTGGGCATGATGAGTCAATTTTCGATCTAGCTATGCAATCCATTGATAATAGTTTCACCTTTAGAAGATTGCCATTTTTTTCCTGATTCACAATTGCTGAAGATTGTTTCAAACAGAGAAGATCAGAGATTTCATCTTCATGTACATTACAGGATCAGCTGATCATACAGTGCGTTTTAAAGCCAGTGCATAGAGGGCTCAGACAACTCAACTGTTTGCCAATTCAATTCGGAACAACTCGACTGTGGAGACAACTCAATCGGTGGGATAACTCAACATGAAATGAACAGACATCTCAACCGTTGGGATAAATCATTGATTGCAACAAGTTGATTCGTATTGGTCCACTTTACAGTCACATCGCTCACACCTGTCCACCAAATTAAAAAACAGTAACAGGATTGGGAGATAGATGCTTCCCACGCTGGCAGACAGTGGTATAAATTTGTGCCGGAATATAAGGGGATGGGGATTTGTGGGGGATGACTTGCCTGGTCATGGAAATTTGACAAATTTGAAAAGGGAGAAGGGTGAACATGGCATGCCTTCCATGGTTAAGTTGTCTCATTTGAAGAGTTGTCCCAAGTGGAACTGATAAAACTGTTGAGTTAGTTGCACATCTGACATCCAGCGCACAGCTGTCAATCATGCCTGACAAGGCAAAATCTTAGTGTGAGGGTTCTGAAAAGTATTTATTCCTTTTGAACCTTCTTAAGTTGTAGTCAGCAGGGTAGTACTCTGCATATCGCTGACCTGGGCGAGTTGTGCACACTATCGTGCTGTAACGTTAAGTGCCCCCTTGAGAGACTCTAATGATGTTGACTTGACGATGTCATCATGATTATCAAGTTTATTCCATTCCCTCGAAGATCTTACAAAGAAGGAGTTTCTATACGTCTCAGTCCTACTAAACTTTCAAAGTTAACAACCAAACAAATGGGATTTCAATTTGCATATTGTTACTCCTCCTTGCTCTCCTTTCCGGTAAGTATGTAGCCTAATAATCATCTGCATAATTTTATTCCCCTAAAGCCATCCCCTTCTGAATCTTGCATTTTGTACAATCATGACTAGTTAGTAGTTGTACATCATAGCCATAGGGACTAATCTATCCCTGGGTGTCCCTCACTCTTCTTGCTTCCAGCGCGATTCCCATCCCAGACCACATATCTGAGTGACGCTGCTGCCTCTGTTGTTATTCCCTATGCAAAAACACTAAATAATATTACGCCTGAACATGCTAAAATGACAATGATTACTTACAAATTAATGCACCGACAAAATATTACTCCGTCAATCCGATGTCATTACATTCATGATCGGTTTGGTTTGTGCATGTTGTTGTGCAAAAGCTAGGTACCCTGACGTAGTTTTTCAGTTATGCTCAGTTCCACGTCAAAACGCTTGGGTGCAACATCTTAATTCAACGGCGCCCTCTTGTGACTACCAGTTTCCAGCTGATATTGGACGAAACAGCAGATATTTCCTCAGAAAGGTTACCTACCGACTGCTCCACAGTTGCTGAAACTATAGTTGCTAAATTACAAACTAATCTATAGGAACTGGTGAGTTCTTCTATCGGTTTCTGTCACATTAAGTGTTGCAGGGGTCTTTTTTTTTTAGCTAAAGCATGGGCAGGAAGCTAGACTTCAAAAACTTCATTTGTTTCCCTTTGTTTACATATTTCGTGTACAACACAAATGCACAGTGCAGATCGTCGCGCCTCCCGTGCCCTGGCGTAACTTCAAAGCCATGATTCGTATCACTTGGCAGTGGTTGATCATTTCTTTCTTTCGAAAAATTTATCCAAGAGGTTTATTGTGGACTTATTTCGCACTCATTCATGAACTTTTTATTGGCATGATTTGGGGAGTGTTACATGATAGGCCTATTTAAATTTTTATTTCGTCACCTAGTTTCTGGAAACCAAAAAGACAACGAACATGATAAAAGAGTTCATCCCACGACTCCCTAACCTTGTGTACAAACCCAGTGAGACTGGTCTGAATGGTTCTTTATCAAACTCTTTACCAGGAAACATACGTATTATGTCAGGGAACTTGACTCACACCGTTTTCACTGTTTCAGCCATCATTGGCCAAAACTGGTACAGTTATTGTATTGCATGACCCCCCCCTACAAAAAATGCTAGGTTGCTAAGATATTTTTGGCCTGATGCACTATAAGAAAATAAGTTCTGCAAAACAAGTACAAACTCTATGCAATTCTAGTTTAAGTACCTTAAATGGGGTGATTGTTGGCCTGCCCATAGTTTTATGGGAGCATACGTTTAGCACGTAAATAGCACCCTGGATGTCTTAGCTGCCACAGGTAATAAGAATTTCACATTTTATAGCAAAGTTCTCTCCCAAAAAGATCCTCAATCTATCAATTGTGTGAAATTTCCAGAAATTTAGAAGACACACTCCTTGGGGATGCAAAGGACCCAAGGTGATGACTTACATGTATGCACACTTCACAAGAAGTTACAAAGTTGAGTGAAATGAAAATGGAGAGGGTCCTAGAACTTAGTACGCATTGCCGAAATCTGCATATAGATGTGTCCTAAGGATGTTCAGTGTTGAACAAAAGGCTGCACTGGATTATGCCAGGATATTTCATTCCGTCGCACACTTTCATTGTAAACTCACTCTTAGCCTTGGGACCCTCATTATCTCATTCTGAGTACAGAATACACAGCATTTAACTTGATACAGTACTTGTAATCTAAGATAACTATATGTTGTACAGGGCTGTATATTTTGCATGGTACTATTGAACTTGTCCTGGGGCCAGTATTTATTCAACACTGTTTAAATGCTGGTATTCGTGCCATATAGCTGGCACCGTAGTGTAACTTTGCTGTGTTCAAGGTCCTTGAAAGACTGCAACTGAGTTATTGTGACCATTGTCCTTTCTGTTGCAAAGAAAGTCAGTGAACTTTAACGTTTGTACATTTGTTGACCTTCAGAATTCAATTTAGCATAACGGTCACTTAAAAGATCTAGTGAAGTAAAAGTTTTCAGATTCATGATTAAATAATAATATTGGCTCAACCATGAATACACACACAATTTCAGACTAACCCACCGTGTGCAGGACTTTTTACTTTTTTATTTGTAAATAAGTAAATGTAAAATCCAAACATGGACATATAAAGACTATTTGTTGTCCTTATGTTTAGTTTTGTTGATTATTTAATTGGGGCAAAACATCCTTGTTATGTGAGATGCCACTTCATTTGAGGAAAATTCATGCTCAATTTCAAAGTCATAGATGGATCTGTAGTAAAATTACTGTCATCTCCTGTCACCATTTCCATATAGCAGAAAATCTGGTGTCAAAAGGAAATCTTCAACTATATTCAGAGAGAACTGTCTGAGCACGATGCCCCTGGAACATAAGGACAGAGAGACAAGTAAGCCAACGGAAGATGAGAGTGGGGATTCCCCTGGGGTCAGCAATGCCTCGGATCAGGAACCCGCTCTAGACTCCTCGGGGGAAGGGGAAGCCTTTAGAAAGAGACAGCGAGTCAACAGTCCGCGGAAGAATGAGCCAATGGGTGAGCAATTGATCATTTGAAAAAAGAAATAATTAAGAAGGAGCACAACTTTCTCAGCCCTTCCAGATATTTCCTCGCTGACAGTGTCATGTAGTGCAACTCAGACCAAGTTTGATCAGTGACTGTCAACCATTTGTTAATTATCCATGGTAAGCTGTGCACTAAATATATACTGGGTACCAGGAAAAATTGACCAGTGATTGACTGATGGTTGCTGATTTCGTAGTATACAAAACAAAACAATGCACCCTTGCATATGTGACTGGATCCCACAAAATGAGTCTTATGGCCATTTTCACTTTTGTTCAAGTTTGTTATTAGGACTGGTAAACCGAGGTCTTTGTTTTGATGTATCATCAGTTTAGCATCATGGTGAAAATGGACATTATGTTGTGAAAAGTGTTTAGGGTTCCTGTTGATTTTTACATTGTGCAAGATTCTGAAGGCCTTCAACTCAAACAGTGGCACTAGTGACCTGTGACTCATTTGTTAAAGTTGGGTTGCATGGAAAGAAATACTTCCTTTCGGCACAGAGTTCTCTGCTAAAGTAGAACCTTTTGCATAGTGCATAATTTAGTTTAATTCCCTAGGTGTTTAGACATAAAAATGGGACATTCTTCATCAAGGATATCTTGGCATCTTTTGGCAGATTGCCGGAACAGGATGTCTCCATCGGCAGAGTGCCAGTGTAGTACTGAGGAAGTGGCTGGTTTGAATCCAGCACTTGTCAATTTCACATTGCCATGTTATGTATCGAATGAGTCTTAAGTTGTTTTATTTTCTTTGCCTTTGTAATGTAAATTTTCTTTGCTTCTCATTTGCAGCCTCTCCACACAAACACGCTACCTTTGAAGAGTTGCTTAAAACAGCGGGGCTGGTTTCCAACATGTCACTGGCTCATGAAATTGTGGTGGATGGGAACTTCAAGCTGAAGGCCAGGGAATTGCCAGACAACTCGTAAGCACCGTTTTGCCGTCTTTAACATTTATCAAGATGAACTCATTTCCAAACTCGTTACTGATGAAGCTGATTCACCAATTCCTTGTTTGTACTGAGACATGTTGTTGTTTCACAGCATTGAAAAACAGGTCCGTGACATCATGCACAAGGCATTTTGGGACAGCCTGAAAGATCAACTAGAGGGTGACCCTCCGAGCTACCACCACGCAGTTACGTTGCTAGGGGAAATCAAGGAGGTATGGACTGTTCCAAATGCACGTGTTTGCGTCTGTGATTAATGATACCATTGTTTGCAAAGGAAGTCGAAGAATAGTGGACAATATTGATACAACATATTACTATAATATCATAAAAATTATTTGTTAAATTCATGTACTCTATCTTGATGTCTCTTTTTGTCCAGTGCAGATAAGCAGTTTCAAGCAACAATGCTGTCTTTACAGATATAGTAAAAAAAATGAACATGACCACATGTTCAGGGAAATACAAATCATGTGATTTAGGTCAGTTTTTTGGGTCCTTATTCTGAATGAGTCTGATTGAGACTATGGTGTCACTTTTCTTATTCCCAGATCCTGATCTCCATACTTCTGCCCCAACACGACCGCCTCCGTACCCAGATAGATGAGGTCATTGACCTGCCCCTCATCCACCAGCAGGCAGATTATGGCGCCTTAGATGTCTATCACTATGGTGACTTCATCATCAGTACCATGGGGATGCTGTGTGCTCCTGCCCGAGATGAGGAGATTGCCAAACTGAAGGATATGGTCGATGTTGTGGAGCTCTTCAGGTAAAGTACTTTCCTATCGTCAAGTAGAGTCACTTTGAAAAGCCCTTGCTCAACAAAGCAAGTGTCAGAATTAAACACTGTCATTATTAAGGGCCAGAGTTTAGAGTTGTTCTGACATTGTTACCTTTGCTCACTGGGCTTATAGTAACTTCTGATTCCTTTCAATTTTAGAAGAGAATACACAACCCATTTTAGACATTTAAATAACACTTTGAATTGCTTTCAACCACATTTGTACAACTTAACTCTCTTCTTACTGTAACACAGAATTTCATGAGTTTGTGGATGAGTAATTGTCTATGTCATAGAGCACATAGCTTATATAAACGGGCACTGTTTATTTTGAATTTAACACAAGACACTGAAACAGAATGGAAAAAATTGTCCTTAACAGTATTTTGGCCAGAAGCCCTGCTCAACAACCAAACAGCACTAATCATTTGGCCAGATAAGGATACAGGAGAATGGTAGAGATTTCCATTCACTCATTTTTCTGTTTTTTTTTTCTGAAAAAGCAGACCAGTTGGAGACAAAACCCGTGCTTTGCACAGATGCACTGTACCGTTTCGGCATCTCATTTTTCTTCGTTGATTTCCAGAGAAATCTTTCGCGTCCTGGATCTGATGAAACTAGACATGGCCAACTACACCCTGCAGAGCCTGCGACCCCACATCAAGCAGCAGTCCGTAGATTACGAGAGGGGCAAGTTCCAGGAGTTCCTCAAGACACAGCAAGGTGGGTGCAGGATGGAGATTGCTTTAAAAAACATCACACTATAACCCTATTTACTGATGGCATATCGCAGTGTTCACTACGGTGAATGGTAGAATGGAACGTGGGTCGTTAATGCATCTATTACTATACACTGCTATCACAAGCATACGAGTACAAAGCAGTGTTACCATCATTTTAATTCTTCTGAGGAATTTTCTTCCATAGTCGGAAGTGGTCAAATTATGCCTTTCGCTTTCTCATGATTGAATGGAATTCCTACATGTCGTCTCCCCTACATGTAGTATATGATATGCATGTAGTCCGCACCGATGACGTCCGTTCCAGCTCACCAAGCACCATGCGGTAACCACTGTGGTCCACTTTCAGTACACAGAGCTATTGAGCAGTTTTCGGTGTTAAAACTGAAATTCTAACATCGGAATTTGGCAAAGACTTCTATATGAATGTTTTCACAACAGATTGATACCTTTTGCATTATCTTTAAAAAGTGAAAGTACTTTTTATTTGATTTAATTTCACCTTTGTACGATAACTCAATGCCAGATGGACTAGAGCTGACCAGGAAGTGGTTGGAAGAGGCTGCGGACGACCTACGGTCGCATGAATCCCAGCAGCCCGCAGAGGGTGCCGCATCCTCACCACCCACACTCACACCAGTGGCCATCCTGAACCATGGCTACATGAAGCTGCTCGACTGGCCAGATGTGCAGTTATACCCAGAGGTAACTCTATCACAGTCATTGTCCAGAAAAGTTGTGTTTTTATTAGTAGGTCTGAAATATCTAGCCGCGGCACACCTACACATGAAAGAGGGATTTATATTTGAGTAATTTATTAAAAGACAAGGAAAACAGTGGGAGACATTGTTTTCTTTTTATTATTATTATTTATTTGGCCAAAACAATAGACATGACAAGATAACACAGAAGAACTAGTAAAGTACAAAACAGATCATTACTCCCAGATAGGCCAGGGGCACCAAAAGCAATCAAGTTACTGTGATCCGTAGACCTGCCACCCCACATCTGATCGTGGATCAATAAAAGACATAGATTAACTGTTAAAGGTGCTAGAGATGTGAAATTGCCTAACAACAAAAGTCATTAACTCTGAAGACCAGCTTACTAACTAATTTGTCATTTTCTTCTACCTGAGCTGAAAATTTTGTAAGCTTTTTATCAACTGTCTGAACAATCTCAGCAACTTCAGGTTTGTTTCCTCTGGATTTACTCCAATTTCAGAATGATGGACCCCAAATTGTTGAATTTGAGAGGGTTTGTCATTCAGGTTTTTCAACACTGTACTAAAACATTGTGAGAGAACTCATCATTTGTTATCTATTAAAAGCCCTGAAAAGTCACAGTAGTTTATTGTTGCCATTGTTCCAACCCCTCTCTCCTGGGTGTTGCACGGATTTCTCTTCATATCCCGAATCTCATCCCTGGTTTTTGCCTCCTGTGAACCAGACAATTGTCATGGACCAAGGCAGGCTTCAGGAGATGGCAGACAAGCTGCAGAAGGCAGTCCTGATTGCCACCGTCCTGCTAGTGACCTACACCAATGTGGGGCCCATCATCACAAGCATACAGGGCTTCCCAAGCAACCTCAAACACCACATTGCTACCATCCTGGAGGGAGTCAAGTAAGGATGCTGATTTCTGGATCGTAAACTGATTCAATGTGATGTGATGACAGGAACTTATGCCCTATGGAAACGAACAAAAAAAAGAGGGCTTTAATATCCTTTGGACTTCAATTCAAGGAGTCTTCAGTGTATTTCAAATTCGTTGTCTCTGTCACTAGGGAAACATAGTTACCTTCTATTTGACTGAAACTATCCTTTTCATCCTCGGAGTCATTATATAAAGAATTAATTGAAAAGTGGGTACAGCACTGATTAGCAAAAGAAAATAATGGCACTTGTGTCCTTGAGCAAGGGCCAGTATCACAATTAATCTTTTAGTCAAGCTCACAAAGGAATAAATTGTGGATCTGGTTTAGGGGAGAGATTCATGTTGTAAATTCTGTGTGAGCTGACTCGTACATGTACTTGACCTATAGTCATATTGCATGATTCCGGGGCTAAGTTTACCAACTGGGAGCTAACATCGGAAACTGCATGGGTATGATGACATTGTTTTGGAAACAGCTCTTTCCCCCCATTTTGTATCTTACTGATTCTTTCAGAGATCACAGTTCCATAATGCCCAACGTAGCAGACCAGGTCTGCACTGATGTCAATGGGTGCCTGAAAGAACGAGGTGTGGCAGAGATGGATGCCATGAAGATGGACGCCTTGAAAAGTCAGGTCACAGCAGCAGGAGACAGGCAGCACAGTGTCCACAAATTGTTAGGTGAGGCCTGTTTCTTGACACAATCTTTGCTAAAACCCTGCATTCCCCACCTACAGTATTTTGGCTAGAAACTAAAAATGGTGGAAACTAGAAATGGTACTGCACCTAAAGACCTTAATAATCCCCCAAAATGCTGAATCAGCATGACTCAGCACTCTTGGAGAGAAATTTCCATCCATTGTTAGGTTAGGTCCGAGCACTTTTCGTTATGGTTGGTCTTAGATATTTCCTTGACATCATTTCAGCCCCTTCTGGAACTTAAAGTTCGAATTTTTTGGAAATTCATTACAACTAATAACACGCGACAGAAAAGGTATGGGGACGTCTTATTCTTTGCTGACACTCTCAAGTACTTAAGTGAAAATTTATTTGTGCTAAATCCAACAAGATTTCATGAAATTGACATTTCTTGGAAGGGTTAGGAAAAGCGTTCTCATTTGTTGGTTCCCTTTGATCAGATTCCAGAGCCAGGTCTTTCATCAAAATGCTCATCAGTGGTCCCATTAACTTTGACCCTGCGACTCGCATACCTCCAGGACTTGCCACTGTCCAGCCACAGCTGCTTGAGGTCGCGGGTCAGTTTGTGAGGGTCATAGGTCACAATCGGACTGTGTACGGACCTTTCTACTCTGAAATCCTCGGGAAGATCTTAAATATCACATAACTGGAGTAGGTTGAGGGGACTTTGTCTACTATTTTTTTTCCTTTGAGAAATATTTATTGTTACACAAAGACTTGCCTACACCAACCACAGATGCACTTTTGAATTTTTGAATTTAATTTTCAGTCGTAGAATTACTTTGGAATAATGTGAAATGAGTTTTATATTTGGAAAAAAAGTTGTTGGAGCTGCACCTCATACGCGGTAATTAAATCCTTAAAAATGTGTATGAATGGAAAATTTTGAGAGCTCTGCTGTTGAAAGATTGCAGCAATAGATCAAATTTGATATCTTCCAGTGATATTGGATCTGCCATAGAAATTTCACGTAGAGTAACTTTAATATGGATGCTTGCCAATTCGTATGCGACAGGGTAAAATTGCTTGTTCCATGCGAGGAGTTATCAACAAGGTGTCACAAAAACGAAAATTAATTTCTCTGAATTCAGTTCCATATAGAGTAGGGAAGTGAATACGTCACGTGCACAGTTTTGTGTGTAAAAGGCATAAGTGCGAGAACCAGCGCCTGAACCAACACGCGCGCGTACTCCATTCATTGGCACTACACTTCCTAGTTCAAAATGACATCACACTTCAGTACTCTATATACTTTGAGGATTCCTATTAAGTAATATATACATGTATATATGTGTGTGTGAACTTGGATTATGTTGAGTGACATTTGAAATTTCACACTTTTGTTTGTGCTGTGTATGACAATGTTCTGCAGTGGAAAGAATTTGTGTTACATAACTGTCAATTTACCCAGACGTATATACCTGTAAACATGTTGTTCACTGCATGGTACAGACATGTCTATTTTGCCAGCTCAACCCATGCGGTGCTGTGTGCCTACAGTTTGTTTTCTGAAATGTGTTTAAATGCAGAAGGCATTGCCCGGTTTCATTTGGATTTCAAGTCAAACTGCAGATGAGAATAATTGTTATCAAGCTAGGTGTAACATGCACATGTGTTTCCTTTTCTGAAGGTGAGGTTTTAATTCTTGTGGTTGATTATCATTTCATTATTTTCCACATATTGAGACATTTCCAAGGTCTATTTTGTGTTTACACGATTTCATGCACAGTGTCTATGTATTTGATTGTGTTTTTCATAAAGCAACTGAAATTACGACACAACTTTGAAGCTCAGTTAGCAACTCTTTTACTCAATAACTTGTTTGGTACTACAGTATTGTAAAATAGTGAGAATTTAAAAGTGAATTTTTGGGTATGGTTTGAGGCTTCATCGCTGTATATCTTTTTATATAGCTATATGGATATATTTTATCACCTTGAGTCAAGTATGTTTAAGTTGATTTGGCAATAATTTCTCTGAAGATAGGATTCTTGGTTTTATTCTAAGCTTTATATAAAATATAAAATAAGTAGTTTGTAAAAAGATGAAGTAGACCAGTGCCAACTTTAAATGAAGGAACCAAACAAACGGCCCTACTACCAGGCCCTTATCGGGGCTCAAAATGCCAGCCTGAATGCACTTGTCCTGGTTCTACTGTAAAGTTGATTGGATTGAAGGTGTAAAACAGTGATTGGTGTATTTCTGTGACTTCATGGGGTCATCCATTTCTTCGAACATCATTTTCACAATGTGAAAAATATACTCTAGGTTAATGGAGTAAACGGCCTGTTTGATGACCGACAATCATTGTTTTCTCATGTACCGTTTTAGGGGTCACAGAGACAAGGGTATGCTTTTGTCCATTCATGAAAAAATAATTGCTCAAGAAATAAATGCCTTTCGGGGGTTTCTGCAGAATAATCGCACTGGTGAGTGGCACAAGCAGGAACTGATCGAGGGGGATTGGATGACATCTTTTTTTGATAATTGAAGGGAGTACTACCCTCTTTTTTGGTGGGGGGGGGGAACAGGAGGTTCACTTCTTGCTGTGCCAAAGTGGGATAATGTGTGTCCTTATCCCTAACCCCAGGGTGTATGTAAAATCAAATTGGAGGATTGAGGACTGTTTTGGTAACAAGGTTTATTTCATTGAAATGGTTATATAGTAGATGTAAACAATTCCATTGTGCTATATAATATAATTTACATGTAGGACACTCTAGAATTTACCTCAATTGTGGTAGTGACACTTTTATTTGTAAATAGGAATCTGCCGATTTGTGGAAATTAAAGATAAATAATCTGATTTGTTTGAGCGTGATTCATTTGTCAAAGTGCTTGGTGAAAACGTTCATATCTTAAACTTACTAGTTTGAAAATTCCATTAAAATGGGTGTGGGGCAGTGTAATCTGAGAGGTTGTAAGAGTCGGGAATATAACATGTTTTGTATGGTTGTGAATGCGATGAAGCCGGAAATGGAATTAGTGACAACCACAGCAGCTGTTATAGTTGACATTTGTTTTCAGCAAGCCTGAGCTATGGAAATTAGAGGCGGATCCAGTGTGGGGGGGGCACACACCCCCTGTTTTTCACCCCCCAAAATGAATAAATAAAAACAGAAGAAAAATGAAGGAGGGGGGCAGCAAAAGGGGGAGAGACCCAGCCCCATAAATGTGACCGTGGAAGGCCTGGAATTGCACCACAGAGCACCGTGAATCCAAATTATCCCAGGGCACTTAAGCAGGCTCCGGACCCCATGCCGTAAGGGCTTTACGCTATGTGGTCGCAGCTAGGTTAGTTCATGCCCCCCTTTTGGAAAATCCCGAATGTCTTCTTAACCAACCCCCTATGAGTTTATTTTTTTAATTTCAAATTTTCAATTTCCAAAATATGGTATTTGTCAGTTGAAAATTCTTGACACTGCTCGAGCCAGTTTGAAATCCTGCATCAGTGACTGTATGTGTCAACTCATTATCTAGCCAATGATACTAAGTTTAACTGAATAGCATCAGCGTCCACGTTGGCGTCCCCTCAAAAGATTACCTTTTATGGTTTGCGATAGAGCTTTGTCACTATTGTTATCGGTTTATTCAGGTGAATCACTGAACGCGTGAGTTGGGGGTAACAAGTTAAAAGCCGCGGGGGGGGGGCGCGATGAGCCACATGGCCTCGATCTCAATCTGTCCAGTAAGTGTAAGAGGATCTGACAAACCTCTGGGAACAAGGAATAAGTCGTGCACTATCTGATTGGTCAGATTCGATCTCAATGCGTAACCGCTACGTAGGCGCGCCATTTTTCAGAATGAGCAAATGTGTTTGTTTTTCTACACCTTAGTCATGACGATTGTTTTTGAGTTGTTGTAAAAGCCGTACCCCACCGATTAATTCTACACTTGGTTTGCAGTAAATGCTTGGCCATGTCTGTGGTCACCCCAGCCAAATCACTTTTCGGACATCAGTTTGTTGCGTCGCCAATACAACGGCTGAAATTTCGTGACTGTGATGGCAGCGACAGCCCGGACGACGAGGCCGATTCTTCTATCGACACGTCTGCTAGCACCATGGAGTCCGATTCGATCTCCATGTCCAACTCTAAGGACGACCTGATGGACTCCATGGACTCGTCAATTGAAGGCTGGGATCCTAGCCTCGGCACGCCCCAGCATAGTCCATCTAGCAAGTCTAAGAGGAGATCTCTGGACCGGTCGCCTCTTAGCCGATTTTCAAGTCCGGAGACATCGCCGCTGATGTATAAAAACCACCAGGAGCTACCGCGGCACTCATATCGTGACCAACTGGAGGTCGACAGCCCATCTCCCACGCCGCCCCACAAAAGACTCCGGAACTTGCGTCTCTTTGACACGCCACACACACCTAAATCTCTGATTGAACGATCAAGACCGCTGATCACGCCGGCAGCAGCCACGGGGTCGCAGCGGAGGAGAGGCGGACTTGGTAGCCGCTTGTTTCTCGGTAACAAATCAAGGAATGAGTTGGACAACAGACAGACCAAATCAGCACCGCGGATTGGAGGACTCAGAAATAAGCAAGAGGCCCAGCTGGCCAATGTTAATCCTTTCACACCTTCTGCTATGGTTCTCAACGCATCCAGGAAGAAACGACAGAGGAGAGAGTGAGTGTTGGAATTGGCAAAAAAAGTCTGATCATCTTGGCCATGATGATGACATCTCTGTTGAGAGTGCAATTTCAATACACAAGCTGGGGCTCGCACAAGAAGTTGAAAACATTCACTCGCTCAATTTTCATGCTAGAAAATTGTGCACACGAATTTAAACTTGTGCAACCCTCAGCATGCTCAGGCTCAACTGTGGCAGGGAATGTATCATTTTGGCAGGTCAGTTGATCGGTACAATTGTGTGATGCATTGCACCATCAGACGATCCTGTATGAAGTTTCCAAGTAGGCCTACACTTTTCTTTTTTTTTAAACAGTCTTCCATAACTTTCCATAAAGTCTTGCACTGTAGGTTTTGAAAGACCAATTTTTAACAGAATGTGCACAAAGCAAATTGGGATAAAGTTCCATTTACAGACAACACTAATTTTCCCTTAAATTAGGTTAGTTAAATGTTACAACAACTGTCAAAAAGTCGTCAAAAACAAAAACGTCCCAAAAGGTGTAATTTAGCAAGGAAAATTCCTTAGCATGTGGGTTTTTAGACAGCTTTTATAGGTTTGTGCACAGGGGCATCAATTGCCAAATGTTGTCCATACATGGAACTCTCTCCAACAATTGTTTTGCTCATGACATGCAGAAGTTTTAAAGCTTTCATGACTTGATGTTCAGTGCAGCCTTGACTTTTGTGTAAATATATTGTATTCTGTCCCGTGTGGATTTGCCTTTGAATGAAATCCAGTCATAGGATAATCATCTCAGGAGGAAATGGTACGATCAATTTGTGCAAGAGTCAAGTTTGCACTGAGCAATGATACTTGGTGAAATTCTGCCAGGCAAGACAACACAGCTATGTCAATTTGCATAAACTATAAAATATTAATTTACAGAGGAATGGGTGATTTGTGGGATTTGGACGTGGATGACATTGAAAACAGTGATGTTGATGCTCTCCCAAACCCATGCAAGGTAAATTTAGCTGTTATTAGTATTGTATATTATTTTTGATTCTTGAAAGTGCTTGTTGTATATTTGTGTTTGAAGATTTGATTCTTTAGATATCAATTGTATTTTAAACAAAAATGCTTTGCCCATCAGAGCTACAGGTATTCTCCAGGGCATCAATCTGTTTTGAAAAGTGGGAGGGGAGCATAGCCCTGGTCAGAACAAATGTGAGCGCGAAGGTCTGAGTGACGTGCGGTCCGGGGCCTGGGCCCCCTAAAAATGTTAGAGTACAGATGCCCTGTGGTGTGATCTGAGACAATTTTTGGCTACTTTAGCATGCTTTTTAACAAATGCTTCTGCAAGCTACAAGTATACATTTTCATTTACGTTTGGGAAAAAAGTGTGTGGGGGGGAAAGTTGATACAGTTTCCCCCCCCCCTTCTGGAAAAGCAGGGGGGGAGACATGTCCCTCCCCGTCCCCCACTGATTGATGCCCATGGGTTTTATGCAGTGCCCTTGTGGAATGAACTCAAGAATCATCTCAGAGAAGGACAATTTTGAAATGGACAATTTTGAAGTGGTAAATGGAATGTCTCAACAGAACTGCAGTACGAGGCTTTCATTGATTGCTTGCATTCTGTTATTAAATGAAATTTCTTATGTGTTCCATATGTCTGTTCAGAGGATTGCGTTGCGCGAGACCAACATCTCCCGCTACAATGAGGAATTTGTTGAAGTTTGCAAGATAGGATCCGGTGAGTTTGGAGCTGTCTACAAGTGCATCAACAGGCTAGATGGCTGTTTCTATGCAGTCAAGAAATCAAAGAATCCCATCGCTGGTTCAGCATTTGAGTAAGTGGCTCACATGCACTAGGATGTTTATTGTTGAAACATTTCATATTGCATGATCAATATTTGGTCACATTTCATTCATTTGTTTTCCAGTCGTCCTATATCTGTCATGTTGGGATTCCTCATGTCTATTTTTCAAGCTGGAAGCCGCCAGATTGTCTAATAACTACCACCCCCAAGAAGAACAGTAGCTCTGTAGAATTTCTGCTGTCAATCTTGGGTTCAAAAAGTTATGATTGTGACTCTAAGCATTCCTTGGCCAGATGAAGAACAAGAGTTTGGTAAAATTACTTGTATGATATGAGCATTGGTAGTTTGAAGATGGTGAATGCCGACCATTAGATACTCACAAAATACACATGATGCAGTTCTATAAGCCAATTTCCTGTTCTGTCGCTATGTTGATTTTAGCAACCCCCCTGTAAGTAAAAGAACAAAGCTCAAGGAGAACAAATTGTCTACAACAAGAACAATCGCAAGCATCCATTCGCCAAAGGTTATGCAACGTTGTCATGAATTTGTTCCCCTCTGTTAAGTCCTCTGAGTTGCACATATGAAACATGAAAAAGTTGATTTGATTGAAATGTATGGATTCCTTCTGTGATTAAGTGTCTTCATTTTGAGATATTATTGGTCTTTTTTACCATCAGGCAAATGGCACTGAATGAAGTGTATGCTCACGCTGTGTTAGGGACGCACGTGCACGTTGTAAGGTACTACTCTGCGTGGGCAGAAAACAACCATATGATCATCCAGAATGAGTATTGCAATGGTAAGGACTCATTCAAATGGAAGCACAACGCAAACGGCATTTGGGAAACGGGGGGTTATTGTTGCTAGCAGACCCCAAGGTTTAACTCCATTGATGTTGTTTCAGATTTCCACTGAAGAGGCGTCAACGGGGAAAAAAAATTGTCCTAGAAGTATTTTCAATCAACTTTGTAGCTGAATCTTTGATACACAGTTTTACCATCCATTCATCCTTTTTGCCTTATAAAAAACATCAAATCAGTGAATCGGTTCTGTGTTTCAAAAAGCCAAGGTCTTTCTGGAACAGATGGCATGCATGAGTTAGCATACAGATGCTCTGACAGGCCAGACAATTGCATGCGAATAACCTCATACTGGGTATGCGCTGTTGGAATACTGAACTGGATCATTGGGATGGGATCATGTTTCTGTACTTAATCGGTGTGTACAAATGATAAATCCTATGTGACCTTGGAACTTTTGCTGGTTTGATTCATTTGGCAATTTCAGGAGGCAGCTTAGCTGACGTCCTTTTCCAGAACCAACAGAGAGGACAGCATCTGTCTGAGCCAGAGTTGAAGCAGCTGCTCTATCAGGTGGCACAGGGGTTGCGGTACATCCACTCACAAGGACTGGTGCATCTAGACGTCAAACCAGGTGTGTAATCGTGGTTGGGTTGTAATGCGAAGCGAGACATTGTAGGCTGGTTTGACACCATTCGTTTATAGGAGATAAACAAGAGATGACGTGCTTTGACATGAACACAACTTACCTTAGCTAGGACACATTGCATGCCTGCACAGGTTCTTCATGTACTGACTTAACTTCTCTGAGCATGTGGAATTCACAGTCCTCGCATTTGCACCAGGGAAACTGTTGAAATGGTCCCCACCAGCCTAGCTCTTCTTCTTTCGCTGTTTGGAAGGGAACCTCTTTCACAAGGCAGATAGGGTGACATTTCTACCACGCACCATCTTTAATCTTCCAAATGGATAGGAACTTAATGGCATCGTTGCTGTTAAAAAGGAAAACTTGTTGAACTGAGACTTGAAAATTGTCTTCTGTGTTTTCTTTGGAAGTCTTGAAGTTGCTGAGCAAACATAAGATATTCATATATTCATATCCCTCCTGTTGGAGAAAATCTTTTTGCAGAAATCAGGCTTATTTGTGTTGCTTCTAACTTTTATTCTTTCCTTTCATTCCAGGAAATATTTTCATTTCCAAGAGAGAGGTAGTCAGTGAGGATCCATCATCACCACGAGAGGGTTACAATGATAACAGCCCAGATGAAGACATAGAAAATCCACTAGTGACAGGACAAAACCCAACTGTCTACAAAATTGGTAACAAAGAATTGTTTGTGTTTCATTTTGTTAGTTCAAGTTTTGTCTTATTTTGTGAGTTCAAAAATCCATCTACGACAACAAAACCTTTGTGTTTTGTATACCCGTAAAAAAGCTTAAGGCTATAATAAAATAAATAAATTTAAAAAAANTTACTTCCTGCAGGAGAACTTGTAATGCGTGTGTTCACTGTGAATCTCAGTAGAGGTCCGTATCAGCATTTTGGAAGTATATCTTTAAAATATCCAATGACCTGTGTGTTGTTCTTTCAGGTGACCTCGGTCATGTGACTTCACTGGCCAATCCAAAGGTAGAGGAAGGTGATGTCAGGTACCTACCTAATGAAATACTGCAAGAAGTGAGTCTATTTCATGTTGCATCCCAATTTTCCTTGAAATGGATCAAGTCCCTGCTCATTCTAAAAAACATGTGCTTCTGTTTAATACCTAAACTTCTTTACAGGTCATTTCCTTCACTTTGCACCATTATTGTTTCTTTTAATGAGCTTTTTTTTTTCACAATATTCAGTGTGATTGGGATTTCTTGCAGCATAGTAAAGTATACTTCTTATTACAATGCATTCTTCTATTCCTATTTGTAAAACTTATCTCAATGTTGATCAAAATACCTAACTGCGTCAGTTTCATATCTCTTTTCTGACATTGCCAAGGTAACAGTGTTGGGTTTGTCTATTGTTATGCTGTCGCCGATGTGTTACTCTCATGTTTTATTGCAAATACATGAATGTTGATGGGGTGCCGTTTCTCCTGCGTTATAAACACTGTTATATTCATTCTCGGCTTAACTCTCTGTCTTGATGATTGCATTACCGTTTCGGGAAGAGCTAACAGTGGTGATTTACAATTCTCGCATCTAGGAATACTCGAATCTGACCAAAGCAGACATATTTGCCTTGGCTCTCACCGTCTACGTCGCAGGGGGTGGGGAACCCCTGCCAAAGAATGGTGACCTGTGGCACAAGATCCGGGCAGGGTGGCTACCCCGCCTTACACATTGCTCCGAGGCATTTAATCAACTTCTCTTAGTAAGTGTCATTGCTTCTGCAAGCTATATTTTGGGTTTGGGGTGAATTCAGTTTTTTAGCCGAAAGTTAACATTTTTTGGAAGCCTAATTGATGTAATAGTGCTTACCAGCTACAATGGGAGACTTTGACATGCATGGTGGCGGCAGACAAACCGGTCCTTTTCTGCGATTGTGCACGTGCTCAGAACTAATGCGCATGCCTAGAACTGCACGTGCATGCCCACATCAACCAAAAAGGAAATTTGTGTCTGCTGCCACCAAGTGTCTCAAAGTCTCCCATTGAAAGCTAGTTTTCAGTTTTGTATAAACAACTTCATTTTCATTCGTTCATATTCAGTCTGGTACATTCTATAAGTGTTTTTCCTCTTCAGTAAAGCAATTTTGAAAAGGGTAAATTAACAAAAGTGTAATCATTTTGCTTGGGCAGTTATAGCTTTCAGTCAGGCACAGTTTGCTCAGTAGTTTGTTGCAAATACTTTCAACGATGATGACATTTGTGTTTTCCAGACAATGATAGGTCCCGATCCCAGCAAGAGACCCTCAGCATCGGCATTGGTCCACCACTCCGTTCTCTGTCCCAACAAGTCCTACACTCAGCTCAAGAAGGAACTCAATGCTGCCAAGTTCCAGAATGCTGTCTTATCCAGGTGACATAACTGACAAAAATAGCTAGTACTCGATAAGCAAAGTTAAGACATCAATGTATAATTGGAAATATGGTTACATTTAAGGGTTACTTTGTTAGCTGATCAAGGCGTATCAAAGGTCGTAGAAAAAGTGCTAATCATCAAAGCCACTGAAGATGAGTGTTACTGAATCAATAAGTTGAAAACCTCTGCTGTGGGTTCTGGGGAGTGGGTAAAACCTTTTTTCTGAGGTTGTAACCATAATTTTGGTATTAGGCTTGGGGACAATAGCTGTAAAAGACTGATCAACTCTCACTCTGATCAGATTGTTACAGGAGCATGAGTTACATGCACACATGCACTAGCTACCCGATTGTAGCGCACTGGTTGGTACAAGAAATTGCCGATAAAGGATTTAAAAATGACTCTTCCTTTTGCTTGCTCAACATAGGGAACTCCAACAAGCCAGAGATGCAACAGAGCAGGACATCCTGAAACCAGTATCCAAGGCCAGCTCTAGAATCATTGGCAAGAAGATCAACAGGAGTATGAGTCTCACGATCTACTGAAATTACTCTCAAATCACAACATGCAACCCAGCCATGGCTAGGGCACCATCCACTTACATGTACATGCACAGGGTTATGGTGTTGGCCGGTAATGGATTGCATCATAATACCTGTATTCTTTTGCGTGGGTCTGTGACATAAAGCCCCTGAATGCCAAATGTCTTGGGATACCTTTCAAAGTCATTCCCATTATAAAGGCCTTTTTGACCAGTAGTTGTGACTTGCAGAAATGCACACACCTCAAGTTTCAGAACTTGAGGTGTATACACTCGAGTGTGGTGTCACTGTGGTGAAGGTTTCTCTTCGGATCAGTCCGTAGTTTAATTCGCCAACCAGGATTAGAAGCCATTAATGTCGTGACATATTAATCGTGGACAGGTGGCACACTTACATTACATGTGTTTTGACCAATGGGATGTCCTGATTTGCAAGAAACATGCATGTATCAAGGATAATAATGCTTGTATGAGTGCGGTACCACCCTCGTTATTGGTGTCCATGGAGGAGGGGCCTGGCTTGATCGGAGGTTCATTCTTTCATTTGCTCGGATTAAAAGGGGTGCACAAGAAAATTACATGTGTTTTCTTTTTTCTCAGTGCCAGCTGTATGGGGTATGCAGGAGAGTGTGCTTTTAGATAAAGAAATGGTGCTTGAAAACAGTTACATGTACATTGCTGTTAGAAAAGATTAGAGACTAGAATTTGTTGCATTGCTTATTCAAAATGAGCGTACGTAGCATTAGCCAAAAGTGGTTGCGGGTGACTGATTTCTGTATGCATCTTTTGCATAGGCAACAATTGAGCAAGTAGATATTACCTGTTAGATGGTGAAATAATGGTTCAAACTTTTTTGCCGCAAGTCGCTGGTGTTGATTTAGAATCAGTGTTGTAGACGAGTTGTTTTCAAGTACCAAGTTCCCTGCCAAATATTTAACTAGTTAGGAGGGAAAAAAGCTGAAGTACATGGGCATTTGATGGTACATGCATAAAGGTAAGATTACAAAGTAGCATGATGACTTCGTACTATGTCCGTTTAATAAAAATTCAGGGTTTTTTTTG